GTTCTTTCTCACCTAATGTGCAGAAACGACAGAGAACCAAGAAGAATGAAGAAACAGAGAAGTATGTTCCAAACAAAATATCAAGATAAATCTCTCTAAATATGGGGAAAGGGGAGGGGAAGGGGCGAGTATGAGTAGAGGGAGGGTGATTGGTGGGATCACGCCTATGGCTCATCTTATAAGGGTACATGTGAATCTTTCTAAATGTAGAATATAAATGTCTTAACACAATATGAAAATGCCATGAAGGCTATTTTAACCAGTTTGATGAAAATATTTCACATGGTTTATAAAAACAGCACACTGTACCCCATGACTGTATTAATGTACACAGCTATGATTTAATTAAAGAAAAAAGAGATAAATCTCCAGAAATGACTCCTAATGAAATGGAGAAAAGTGATTTACTTTACTGACAATTCAAAATAATGATCAGAAAGATGCTCACCAAAGCCAGGGGAACAGTGCATGAACAAATGAGAATTTCAACAAAAAAAAATGTAAAAGCACCAAACAGAAATCACATTGCCAAAAAATACAATAACTGAAATAAAAATTCAATAGAGAATCTCAACAGACTAGATGAAGCAGAATACAAGGTTAGCATATCAGAAGGCAGCTCCTTAGAAATCATCGACTGAGGGGCACCAAAGGAAAAAAAGACTCAGAAGGAGTGAAGACAGCTAAGAAAGTTACAGAAGAGTATCAGGCAGACCAATATATGCATTACATGTCTCAGAGTGTAAGAAAGAGGAGAGTGAGAAGAGACAGAAAGCTTATTCAAAGAAATAACAGTCATGAGTTCACAGCGATGAACACAGCGATGGTTTGGTCAGTGACAAACCACATAATCAACAGTAGTTATATGATATAGCTTAGTAGGTTGTATCGTCCGGGTTTGTGTAAGTACAATCTACGATGTTCACACAGTGATGAAATCACCTATCAACACATTTCTTGGGACATGTTAAGTGATGCATGACTGTAAGACCGAAATCATCCCAACCTAGGAAGGAAATAGAAATTCCGATTTAGGAATCCCAAATGACGCCAATAAGATTCATCTAAAGAGATCCACATGAAGACATAATCAGTTATAAAAGTTCAAGAGAGCAGCATAAGAATGGCAACTTGTTGCATACAAGGAAACTCAAAAGAATATAAGTACATTTTTCAACAAAAACTTTGCAGGCCAAAAGGCAGTGTGATGATATAATCAAAGTGCTGAAGGAAAACAAGTGCTAACCAAATCTGTCCTTCAAAAATGAAGGTGAGTTGGCTTGGCGCCTGTAGCACAGTGGTTATGGCACCAGCCACATACACCGAGCCCAGCCTGGGCCGGTTAAACAACAATGACAACTGCAACAGAAAAATAGCAGGGCGTTGCGGCAGGCGCTTGTAGTCCCAGCTACTTGGGAGGCGGAGGCAAGAGAATCGCTTAAGCCCAAGAGTTTGAGGTTGCTGTGAGCCGTGACGCCAGGCACTCTACCGAAGATGACATAGTGAGACTCTGTCTCAAAACAACACCAAAAAAAGTAAATGAAGGTGAGCTAAATGAAGTCTTTCTCAGGCAAACTAAAACTGAGTTTATCACCATTAGACCTATCTTACAAAAAAATGCTAATGGGATATCTTCAAAGTAAACAAAAGGATGCTAAACTGTAACCCAAGAGCATAAGAAAGTATGAAACTCATTGGTGAAGATAAATATATAAACAAAAATAGAATATTGTACTACTATATGGTTGTAAGTAGACAGCTTTTAATTCTGACACAAAAAAGACAGGCCGGGCACAGTGGCTCACGTCTATAATTCTAGTACTCTGAGAGGCCAAGGTGGGTGGGCTGCATGAGCTCATGAGTTCAAGACCAGCCTCAGCCAGAGCAAGACGCCATCTCTACTAAAAATAGAAAAACTGAAGCAAGAGTTGGAGGTTGCTGTGAGCTATGATGATGCCGTGGTGCTCTACCCAGGGTGATGGCTTGAGATTCTGTCTCAAAAAAATAAAAAGAAAAGCAAAAGACCAAAGTATTAAAAACAAACACAATTAAATTATGTTAGTGGATACATAATATAAATCAATATATATTACGATATCAACAGCATATAATGTGGACGAAGGAGAGGTTAAAGTCTTTCATGTAAGCTAAATTAAATTATTACCAACTCAAACTGTTATAGGATATTTTATGTAAGCTACTTGGTAAATAAAAAGAAAATACCTCTAGAATTTACAAAAGCAAAAATTAAAAAAGTTTTAAAAGGAACCAAAATTTATCCAAAAAAGAATAAAAGGCTTGGTGCCCATAACACAGTGATTATAGCGCAAGCCACAGACACCAAAGCTGGCGGGTTTGAGCCCGGCCCGGGCCAGCTAAACAACAACAACAACTGCAACCAAAAAAATAGCCGGGCACTGTGGTGGGCACCTGTAGTCCCAGCTACCTGGGAGGCTGAGGCAAGAGAATCGCTCAAGCCCAAGAGTTTGAGGTTGCTGTGAGCTGTGACACTACGGCACTCAAGCCAGGGAGGCAGCTTGAGACTCTGTCTCGAAAAAAAAAAATACTAGTAGGAGACTTGAATGTATCACTTTCAATAAGATATGCAGACAGAAAATTAACAGAGAAATAGTGGACTGGGTGGAACAACACTGAAGACCAAATGGACCAGCTCTGCGCCTGTGGCTCAAGCGGCTAAGGCGCCAGCCACATACACCTAAGGTGGCGGGTTCGAATCCCCAGCCCGGGCCCGCCAAACAACAATGA